TTTGAAAAACTTGTGCAATTAGTCCTCAACATGTAGGTCCTCTCGGAAATTCATCCCAGCCTTTAAAATCAAAATTTCAACCCCCGTCACTTGAATTTCCTAAATGGTCACTCAACTTTTCTTCAAGTCCCCACGGGTCACTAAACTCAAAACTACCCCCGATAGTCACTTAACTTTGAAAATTGGTACTCCATCCATCGCTGTGCAAACAACACTTGCAAAATTGGTAGGATTTAACGACATTGAGCATGAGTCTATATGTATATGACCCTTTTTAATCACAAATCGTCCAATGCATATTTGAGTTTTTTTAATGATTGTTGAATGCGTGATTTTATCTAAATGTAGAGCTTTCCGAAAACTAAATTTCACAAGCTTTTATGAGTCGGATTACTATAGTTTCTAACTAATTATAGCATGATTTATGTAAAGATTTGATTTATAGTTTTCAAATGCGTGCCACGTAAGCCATACCATTAGACATGTCATCAAATCCTTTCAATTTTCCAAGCATCATTCAAGCAGTGATAGATGAGATATCAATTTTCAAGATTAAGTGACTAACTCGTAGGAACTTTAAGAAAAGTTTAGTGATCATTTATGGAATTAATCTACCCCTGTCCTTAAGTTTTACTTGCTTCCTTTCTACATAATTTTATTGATATTAGCGTCGAATTTTTTTTCTTGCATGAGATGAACAAGCTAATTTTTGGACAGATGATGTTAACAAATATATATTTAACACATAACATAATCTTTCAGGTATAAACGTTTTATTCATTCAATTACAATAACTTTATTATTTGGACAATGCTAGAATAACACAATCTTTTACCTATTGCTTTACATAGTGGACAAATGGCGAGAATTAGGTAGAAAATTATGTACAAGTAGTTTTACTCTTATTATTTATTTCAAATATCTTTCTCTCTGCTAACTATTGCTATACAATGTTAACCCACTACTATCATAGCACCATCAACCGTTGTTGGGACCCTGAACTAAAAATCTTGGCTTCGCCATTGCTCATATCCAACCCCCCATGTAACGAATGATATATCAGTTAAAGACATAGAAACTCATGCTATACCATTAGTAGTGAAAAATAATACTACATCCGTCTCATATATATAAGCTTATTTTGTTTTTCACATGGATTAAGAAATCTTATTTAATGTTTTTGGANTGCTATACCATTAGTAGTGCAAAATAATACTTCTTCCGTCTCATTTATATAAGCTTATTTTGTTTTTCACATGGATTAAGAAATCTTATTTAATGTTTTTGGAAAAACAATTTTCACCAAAAACTTTCCTAATTTACTCTCATTTAATTAATCTAGTTGTACATAATATTCTACATAACCCTTTACCTAATAACCAAATGGTGATAGCCTATTGGGGACGCCTCAATGTTATTGAGTCATGAGCCTAACACAAACATTCTAGGGGTTAGAGAATGGATCCATCCACTTCTGTTGTCCGACATGCAAATGTCATTGACATCATAATTAACTTTGCTCATGCTCTTTAGATTTTAGGATTCGCAGGCCTCTATATTAGAAAACACTTTCTTTATCATTATTGATGAAGCTCGAATATATTTTTGAATTGTTTCCTTTATTTTATTTTCTGCATTCTGTTATAATTGTTGAGCAGCAGTCCAAATAATTAAAGACGAGAATTATATGAGGAATATGAAAATAATGGATCACAAGAATAGAAGATTTATGTGAAAGAGGAGGACAATTTATTATACCAAAAAGATAAAATTGTTTTATAAGACTTAACACTCTCAATATAAGTCTAAATAATTCTCTCAAATTTCTATTGTATACAACAATGGTTTAATTGTTATGTTGAATATTTGAAGAGCCTGCACTTTGTGGAGTATTTATATGAGACTTCTTTTGAAGTTAAGGATGAAGTAGAACACAAAAACGAAGTTGAAATATGCAAAATTCGAAAAAATAGAGGCGCTCAGCACCCAACTTCTGCCCTCCTTTTCCTTACTGGGCGCTGCAGCGCCCTGCCCTGTTTTCCTCCTCTCCTGTCGCCCCCGACTCTATCCTTATTTTTTCAAAACTCTTCTTCATCAATCCTCAATTTCTTATCCCAATCAAATTCTCAATCCATGATAAAATTTGATCCTTACGTAGAATCTGAGTCACAAACAGAACAATAATTAAGTCTTTTGCCAGCTTAATTTTAGTTTCTTAGGTTTTTCTATTTAAAAAAATCAAGTTATAGGTTTCTTGTCTTTTGGTTATTTGAATAAATAATATAGAAATTGCCTTTTTTTAAATTTATTTTTTGATCCAATGTACGCTGGTATTTTTCTAACTTGGTGAAAAGTATTTTCGATTTCTAGATCAGCTGGTATCAATTCACCGTCTCTCGAATTTTGCATAAAATGCATGAAAGGGTTAAAATAGTAGCACTAAAATAAATTGATAAAGAAGAAAATAAAATAAAAACAAAAAGTTTGAATTAGTGTCATGATAAATGAAATCGAACTCAAATACAATCGCAACAGCGGCATAAAAAGTTGTGAAATCTTTTTTAATCATCGCAAGCGTACTATTCGTTAACAAGTAGTTGAATGAATTTTGAGTCCAAATATCGTTCTCATAGAGATTGTATTAATTCAAGTTCAAATTAATTAAGCCATAATCGAAACAATTGAAATTTGTATTTTTTAATAAAAAAATTGTAATATAATAATCTACTTATGAATGCAAGTCCTAACTTAATTAAAATAAATGCAAGTTCTATAAAATTTTAAGATGAAAAATGAATTAGATCCCAAATACCCTTGAACTAATCCTCTTTAACCTTAAAGCTTATAAATTTGATTACATGATTCAATTATGAAGATCAATATTCCTAATTTGTGTAACAATCTCTCTCTCGAGTAGAATTAAACATATTTTTCCATGTGACCAGACTATATTTCTATGACGGATTTGAACATGTAAAAATGCATTGNAATTATCTTTAATCCGAAACTTATATATTTGACAACACGATTCAATTATGAATATCAATAATTCTAATTTGTTTAACAATTTCTCTCGAGTAGAATTAAACATATTTTTACATATGACCCAACTATATTTCAATGATGGATGCAAACATATAAAAATGCATTAAAAATTTGTGAATACTTAAAGATCACGTAAAGTATAGCAGTACATTTCTATCATCTGTCGAACTCTATGACAATTGACACTATGTCTAACTTAT